CTGAGCTCCTGATATGCACCAGCTTCCATGCTGTGCCATGGACTCCTCAGCTTCCCGAGCTGGGAGCTGGCATCATTTCCCAGAAGAAGGAAATGGAGTCTATGCAGGGTAAGGCCTTGTCCAAGGTCATAAATGCAGCAAGTGGGAGAAGTAAAGTCTGAACTCAGGTCTGCTGTGTCTTAAAGTTCTGGGACCCTACAGCCCCATGCAGACAGCCTGGCAGTATCATTCCCAGGAGGTGTCCTTCCTGCATGGCACCTGGAATAAAGGATGTGTCCCTCAAAGCCAGAAGCTCCTGCTCTCGATGCAGAGGGGTGTGTGTGAACTGATAGCCAGAGAATAAAAGCCTAGTATGCAAATTGTCCGCTTGGGCAGTGGTTCCACTGGGAGTTTGACTGCTCGCTACGACATGTCCTGACCACCAGGGGGCGGCACAGAACATGGTGGGCGTTCACGACAAGGCGTTTGCAGTGGGCAGCAGTGGAGGCACTGGCAGCTCTGATGGGCCCTGATGAGAGTGGGACCATTCTGGATGGTGGAGCAGGTGAGCAGGTAGTGCCAGGCCAAGGCAGGTGCGAGGGGGGGCCCAATCGCCCTGCAGATGGTGCCCAGTGCGGCCTGGCTCCCAGGCCCTGAGGGAGAAAGGCCAAATAGCAGTACTGTAATATTTCCTCTAATTATTTCCCTTTCAATGTGCACAAATCTGTGCACTGGGCCACTCATGTTACATGGAGTGTTTTGTGGAGTTATAAGTGACTGGTCAAGGCCGAGTGTGGGAAGGTTGGACTTGCAGGAGCTGTTTGCATAAAGGGCGGGAGGCGAAGAGCCTGGAGGACTCGCGTGAAGTTGCAGGACAGAGGTTTGATTGGAGGGAGCGCAGCGGGGAGGAGTCACCTCCCTGGTCACCGAGCTGCAGCGTCTGAACCTGGTGCGAAGCCTCGTGCACCAGGAACGGCTATTTATAGCTGCCCAGCTCCGTCTGCACAGGAGAGATGGGGCTGGGGAGGGTCATGTTTAGGTGGCGCTCCCACACGGGGTGCTGGGCCTGGGCACGAGGCACTGGGCCGTCCTCTCTTGTCCTTGGGCAGTGCGCTCTGCAGGCAGCAGCCAGAAGGATTTAAAAAAATATATATTTTATGGATTTTTTTGTACAGAGAGGAAGGGAGAAGGATAGTTAGAAACATCAATAAGAGAGGAACATCGATCAGCTGCCTCCTGCACACCTCCTTTTGGGAATGTGCCCGCAACCAAGGTACATGCCCTTGACTGGAATCGAATCCAGGACCCTTCAGTCCGCAGGCCGACGCTCCATCCACTGAGCCAAACCTGTTAGGGCAAGAAGGATTAAAAAAAAAAAAAAAGTGCAGACCATGTCCCTCCCTGCTCTCAGTGCTTCAGTGACTCTCCACAACAGGCAGAATGCCGTCTGGCTCTTCGCTGTGGCCCTGGTGGACAGCGTGCCGTCGTGTTGAGGAGTGCAGCCTGTGCTCACTCTGCACGCGGATTCAGGATCCTGGGCACGCTTCTCCGCTTCTCTGTGCCTTCGTTTCCCCATCGTTAACAATATGATAACAGGATCGTAGAGCATTGTTCGCAGAGGGTTTTGAGAAAATGTAGGGAGGGATTATTTTAAAGCAAAATAAAAGCTGTAAGCATTTTTTTTTTTTATACCCTCTGACACAGTCTATCTCATGGCATCTCTCTCCTAAAAGTTCTCCTTTTTTTCTCAGCTCCCCTGGGTTGGCTGGTGGAAAAGTGAGGGCTTTGAGTACGTTGCTTGCCTTTCTGAGTTAATAAAGGCAAAACAGTGGAACAGTGCCCGGCGCATAGTGAGCTCCGCAGGGTTCGACATTATTATTATTATTATTAAAAAAAATATAATATATATATATATATATATATATATATATATATATATATATATATATATATATATTACAGAGAGGAAGGGAGAGAGACAGATTTAGAAACACCGATGAGAGAGAAACACCAATCAGCTGCCTCCTGCACACCCCCCACTGGGGATGTGCCCACATCCAAGGTACATGCCCTTGACTAGAATCGAACCTGGGACCCTTCAGTCTGCAGGCCGATGCTCTATCCACCTAGTCAAACTGGTTTCAGTTTGACATTATTATTGAGGTTCTCAAGGTGGCCCGCCCGCCCCTGATTTCATCTGGCCCCGGATTATGGGCCTTTAGGAAAAGGTCATTTTACTCTGCTCTTTTTCATGAACCTTCTTTGGCAACAGGAAATCTTGTTCTAGCCCTGACAGCCTCGGGGCACAAAGAAGGACTGAAGCATTGTAGTGTCATTGTGTTAGAATACTAGAGGCCTGGTGTGCGAAATCCATGCAAGGGGCTCAGCCTGTGCAGCCGTTGCAGCTTGCCTCGGCCCTCATGGCCCTGGCTTTGTCTGGAAGGTCGTCCGGAGGGTCATCCGGCTGTCCAGTCTAATGAGCATATTATGCTTTTATTATTATAGATGATTGATGGGCCTAATATTGGATCTTGTGCCAAGGTGTTTACCAAGCTACCAAATGCTGGCTATCCTTGACCACATGTTTGAGGATTAAGTGGAGGGAGAAAAACACCTTTCCTCTATCCTCCTAGGTTCTATGACTGGGCCTGCCCATCAGGCTGACCAAGGACAGATGAACAGGAGGAGAGGCATACACATCTCTTCCGCTGCACATGTTTTATTTCTGTGTGCATGGAAACCTTCATGGGCATGAAGACTCAGAGATGTGCTTGGTCTCAGGAGCTCATACACCATTTGAACAAAGGGCAGCACATGGTAGAGAAGTACCTAGCGAAAGAGTGGGAGGCTTTGTCCAGGGGTGGTGAATTGTGGCAAGGGTCAACTGTCCCCAAGGCCAGACTTGCAGATCTGTCCTGTAATAATGGGCTGGTGTCTTTTTGTCCCGTCTCTGGCACATTATAATCATCCAGCTCTCCTGGTGTCAATAGGAACCATACCATGCAGGTGGCTCCAAAGCCATCGTCACCCATGGGTGCCTTCTCCGAGGGGGTTGGGGTGGGGGGCCCCTGGTGTCATCGTGGTAACCTGCAAGCATGCCTGTCACACACACTCTTTCTTTCTTCCATCCAGAGGGGGCTTCAGTGTACGGAATTGTACGTCTAGGGAGGTTGGGTTAAACACGAATGCCACGTCTTCCCCTCCATCTGGAAGTTCACTTATGATTCTCATAGCACGGACTAAGGCTGGCGCTCTGTTTGGTGCCTTCGCTGGTAAAGACTCACCCCTCCTCACAACGTCCTCTGCATCTCTGAGTCATTATCAGGGTTTTCTTCTCACACTGCAGTGGGGTTCCACAACCTGTCTCGTACGTGCGGGTGCATTTGGCAAAGTTTTACCAGTCACGTAGTCTCTGTGAAGGCGTGTACTTGGCCCGGGTCTGGAGTGATCATTTTGATTCAAATGATTATTGCTCAATATCAGTCTCCCAACCCCACGTCCCAGACAGGACATCTGATGTCTGCGTGTAGCCGGAATGAAGCCAGGCCCCTTTATGATCCAATCTCAGGACATGATGATACTCAGCATGTATCCGAAAGGTAATTTAAAATCAATTTAGATATGTATGCTATTTTTTGGAGAAAATGTAAGGAGGGATTATAATTTAAAGCAAAAGCTGTCAGCGTTATCATCATTTTTTAATTCTCTGACACAGTCCGTCTCATGGCATCTTTTTCCTAAGAGTCCTCACCTTTTCTCAACTCCCCTGATAGAGGAGTGAGGGCTTTGCATGTTTTATTTTTGTCCTATTTTATTTCCAGTGCTGTATGGAGGTTTGGGAAATACTAAGAGAGAGACTGAATCATTTCCAAATCCAAATTATGTTTGGATATCTTTGACATGTCTGGTCCTGTCTCCTGTATATTCTTTTATTATCTTAAAAGGCAATTCCTGAACGTTTTTGTGAATCTCTCCTCCTGGGAAAGGGATTTGGGGAAACAAATGAGGTGCATTTGGCCTCGGCGGTGTGGCTCAGTGGTTGAGCATTGACCTATGAAGCAGGAGGTCATGGTTCGATCCCTGGCCCGGGCCCAGTAGTGGCGTGCAGGAGGCAGCTGATCAATGGTTGTCTCTCATCGTTGATGTTTCTATCTCTCTTCCCCTTCCTGCCTCTCTGAAATCAATAAAAATATATTAAAAACAAACGAAACCAAAACCAAATGAGGTACATGGGACTGTGAGAGCTAGCATTACTGTACACATTTTTGTAAAACTCTGGGGCTCTTTTTCACGTTTTCAGTTCATCTCCTCTTCTAGGCTCTGGGACGGAACTTCAGACTAGTGGCATGTGAGCAAGTTGTGTAGACTATGCCTCCCACAGCGCTCAGGGTGGGGGCGGAGCCTGGGCCACCAGTGTCCCCGCCCCTCGTCTGGAGTGGTGAGAGCCTCTTCCACTGACCCCAGTGAGCCTACAAATTGGACTGTTTTCTGTGTCACGAGGTCAGACAGTGTGGAGAGTGCCACGTTCAGGCCTGTTCCTGGGTCTGTTCTTTCTAGCCTCTTCCCTTCAGAGGTCCGAATGCTGCCTCCCCTTTCCTCCTGCCTTTGGTGGTTTGTGGAAGGTGTTCTAGGCAAACTCCTTTGTGAAAGGGGCCGGGACGCTGTCTCTCCGCTCAGCTCCTTCCTCCTTCCACAAAGGATCTGTTGGTACGCTCAGCCCCTTTCCCACACATCAGCTCGGCCCCCGGCTCTTCTGTGCCCTTCGCTCTCTGCAATCTTGCTGTTGGCCAAGCCCAGCGATGCTAGCATCTTTCCACTCCCTCCCTACCCACGTCCCCCGTAAAATGCAAGCGCAGACGTTCAGCACAGTAACCTCTGGGAGTTGTCACTCGTGCTAGTGCTAGTGTTATTTCCCATGCACCTTCTCTCTGAGGACTTGTTTTGGACTTGGAGCTGAGGAAGGACAGAGAGGCAGTCATGAAGCTGAACGGTGTTTCTCTGTTTTTTTTTTTTTTTTCCAGATGAGAATTCTCCAGCTAACTTCTGGGATTCTAAAAACAGGGGCGTGACTGGCACCCAGAAAGGCCAGCTCGTGTGGAGGATTGAGCCGGGGCCCTACTTCATGGAACGTAAGTAGCCACGTGCGACGCTGCCTGTTTGTGATGCGACGCTGCCTGCGTGCGCAGGGGTCTATGGGTCTTTTCTGAGCACTGTTTAAAACGCTTTCGGCTCTGATTTACATACACTTGCACCAAATAACTCCTAATTGGAAAATGTGTTATTTTAGAAAATACTCATTAGGGAACGTTCACATATTTTGAAGAGTGTGTGTGTATTGTATGAACATATGATATCCTATCTAACTAAAGATGGGATATGCAAATTGACGGTAACTCTGCAACAAAGATGGCAGCGCCCACAGCCCATAAGGTGGGAATATGCAAATTGATGCGACAAGGCGAGAGGCGGAAAGGGGGCTCTGGGCCAGACCGAAGGCGGTGCTGGAAGCTAGGGGAAGGAAGGCCTGTTCTTACACAGATCTTTGTGCATCAGGCCTCTAGGATAAATTATGTGTGGCTAGTTTAATATTTCACACATTTTTGTATACCTTTGCATCTACATTTGTAATTCATATTTAATGATTAATACTAATTTTAGAGAGCAGGAAAAGCACTTCAAGGTTTAAATTTAAGAATTTAGCTTAATTAAAAATTTTTATTTGCTAACTCTGCTATTATTTTTCCCAGCGGCAGAATATAACTTTTGCCTTTGGGTCCTGGTTTTTACAAATGTGGGCCAGATAGTCAGACTGCTATAGATGTCTGTTTACTAGGAATCCTGCAGGTAATTCAACCATGCCCCAGTTATCTGATGTTATATTCATTTGTATGTGCAAATGCACACGTGATTACATAGCACACGTGATTCACAGACATATGTCATTCCTTCTTATTTTGGATGAGGGGCGTATCTATACTTTCCACTAATATTATTGCAAACATAGTAAGTACAATTTTGTGGAGTAGCTGGATACTCCTGTAAGCAAATGATTTACTGGTTGCTCCAGGTTAATGCCTACACTTAACAGAATTTTTCCTTACTGCAGACAAAATGGCTCTAAACATTTTCCAAGTTATTTATCTCTGTGAAACATTTAAATCTTCCATACGCAAAGTGTTTAATCCAAGAGAGTGTGGGGATGCTATACAAAGAAGGGTACTTACTACACCTTAAAATATAAAGTAAGGTTTGATCGAGAAGCAACTTGATGTAGGCACATTATCTACACTAATAATAAAAGAAAAATATGCAAATTGACTGTACCTTTGCGATGCTCACCAGGCAATCAGGAGTGAGTATGCAAATTAACCCAACAAAGATAGCACGTTAATTTTCATATGCAGGCGCCTAGTGGCTGGGCGCAGGGCAGGACACCTGCATCATCGCCATGGCATTCCGCACTGCCCCAGCCACTCAGGGCCTCTGGGCAGCGTGGGAAGGCTGAAAGGAGGCTCCGGTCCGAAGCGAAGGTGGTGCCGGCAGCCAGGGGAAGGAAGGCCCATTCTTGCAAGAATCTTCTTGCATCGGGCCTCTAGTTAAAGCATATAAAACTACTGCACTATAACAAGTTGTTTTAAAAGATTAGCAGCTATTACTTTGAATTGCCATCAGATTATTTCTTCCACATTTTCACCTGGAGGTCAGCATTCTCGAGCTTTCTCTAACCCCATTTCTGAGCCCTAAGCAGTGCCTTCTTTTCAGTTTAATTTCTGGCTAGATTCTCTCCTTAAATCTTGAGTGGAATGTAATTTTAAGGGGAAATGCTCACGATATAAGTGAGAGGATAAGGCGTATACACACAGCACAGCCCCAGCTGAAATCATGGCAGATGGGAAAGCCCGAAGGGTATGTTTGCCAGACGTGAATGAGAGGTGGTTTCTGGGGGGTGATGTCATGGGTGCTTTTGCTTGCCTCTTTCTACTTTACTTCCCAACCTTGGCCCAGCTGGCATTACTACCTAAGTGGTCGGAAAAGTAAGTGATAAAAGGATACGGGGAAACATGGAAGGAGAACTAGCCAAGCTTCCTCTCAACGTGATTCCTCCTTTGGGAGGATCCCAGGGTTTGAGAGGCTGAGCTGGCTGAGAAATAGCACCAACTGAACTTCAGGGGAAATGGTGAAACAACCTTCGTGTTGGCTCCCAAGTGAGGAAGGCTGCCGGGGGTGATGGCCCTGGGTGGCACCTGCCGATTCGCACTGTGGGTTGTTCTGAGATAAATACCTTGGGACATTGGGAAGAAGTCAGCATCACATGCTGCTGTCATGTGGAACAGTGTGTGTGAAACACGACAGCCTGTGGACAAGACTGTCTCAGTCTGTGTGGTTGATTTTCTTTATCCCTTCCAAAGTGGTAGAGGTTTGGGACGTCCTGGCTGATTAGGCGGTAGTAAATCTCTCTTTCTCAGGGAAGGTTTTTCTTTACCCTTCCTGCTAGTACTTAATAGATCTCTCTGTCTCTCTGTCTCTCTGCCTCTCTCTCTCTCTCTCTCTCTCTCTCTCTCTATCCATCTCTCTCTCTCTCTTGCTTTCTCCTCCCCTACCCCTTTTCTCTCTCTAAAAATCAAGAAACACATACCCTATGGTGAGATTATACAACATTTCTTTTTCAATCAGGAGGTGGCTGAGTATGTTCAACAATTTTTATATTTTCAACCTTTGAGCTTGAAAACTTCATGACACAGAAAAAACATGTGCTTTCATCTTCAGACAGAACATTTTTATCTTTAGCTATTCAGAAGTCCAGGCAAAGTAAAAATCTCCAAAAAATTGACCTAAATTCATGGCAAAACCTAGATTTTCCCACTGAGCTATTTCTGAATGTAAAGATGGCTTCGGTTTGTCTGGATAAACCCCTCCAGGAGGCAGGAGGCCGGGCATATTGTTTCGGGACCTGCCTGGGTGAGTTTGGAGGACACAGACTGGTTGAATTTGGGGTAGACGATCTTGCTAAACATTGGAGAGGAGGAGCTTCCTTCTGCACGTGTGGTCAGACTGTCAAACATTCCTCAAGTGAGCCGATGCTTGCAGAAACGGGATTGCTCACCTGGGCCATGTGCATTCTTGAGTTTTGAAAGGTTAAGATGTTTCAAAAGTTGTCTTGGGTCAGACATGCCAGAGTGTCTGTTTCTATAGTCTTTTATAGACTACTAGAGGCCCGGTGCACGAATTCGTGCACAGGTCGGGTTCTGTTGGCCCAACCTGATTGGGACAATCAGGCTGGGCTGACTGGAGGAAGGGGCTGTGGATGGTTGGTGGGCTGGCCTCTCCCTGTTGACTTGGTCATGGAGGTCTGGCTGCGGGCGGATTCAGAGTCTGATCTCCAGTGTAAGAGCTGACGCTGAGAGCTCCTGCCCACAGAACCCAGTGCCCACCACCAAGCTTGCCCGGCTTTGATGGGCCTGTGCACTGTGCTTAGCCCTGCTCTTGCCAAAGACGTGCTGTTGGTCTCAGGAGACAGCGTGTGGGAGAGGAACGCAGCTTTTACAGTTTGGGGAATAATCAGAGCCCGTGTCGGTGCTCGCGACAGTCACCCGAGGAGGGCAGTGAGAATGAGGCTGGGATTCCCATGCAGGTCGGTCCTCAAAGCCAGCAGCTCAACGTTTCTGCCTCGGCCACTCCTCGCTCCCCACCTTTTCATCGCTTAGGTTTTCTCACCCGTAGGCTTCAGTCCCCACAGTGTGTCTGTGAGCCTTTCTGATCCTGGTGTCCTCACTGGTCCCTGGGGCCTCCAGCCTTCCCCCCGCCATCCTCCCTTTTAGCGTCTGTCTCCTGTGCTCTGTCAGGCCTGTGACTGTCACCTCCACACTCCATCCCCTGCTAGACCAGACACCTTCCTTGGATTCTCTGCCCTGCCCGGCGGGGCGGGGCCTGTCTGTCATGGGAACGCGGTGACCGTCTTCTGCTTGGCAGTGCTCGCTACATTTTGAATCATCACAGGGATTAACGTTCATGATGGAAAGACTCAGTATTGTACCTCATGGCAAGACTGTTTTTTTTGTTTTTTTTTTTTTTTTTGTATTTCATCATGGATAGGAAACGTGCAACAATATAAATTCCTAAAAGAGGGTTTTGCTTTAGTTGTTGTGTTTTTTTCTCTTAAAACAAGTGAGCCACACACTCTGTGGAGGTCATCGGGTGTAGCCGGGAAGGTCCGGGGGAGGTGAGCTTCCTTGGGAAAACCCGTCCAGTGCCCCCCCCCCCCCTCAGTGATCCAGGGGGTTCAGGGGAGGAAGCCACTCCTGTAGGCGCCCTGGTCTGGGGGCTGCCCGTCAGCATCCCTGCCTGTATCAGAAGACACTCAGGGAACCAGGCATCTTGCGGTGGCTCAGGTGCTCTGCACAGGGGAACAGCCCGGTGTCTGTGCCAGCTATACCTGTGACGCATTCTGACTCCCCGAGCTTTGAAACTGTTCCTTTCCAAAATCAGTAAGTGACATTGGTATTGCTCTTTATCAAGTTTCAAATTTCACACATATGAAATACACACATGCTGCATATGTGTGTCATATATATAAACATGTAACCTGTGGACAGAGACCTCCACATACATCTGCTTCTGCATTATCTGTCTGTCCACATGCCAGGAGTGTCTGTACCGGGATTACTAAATTTGATCCCTGTCTCGTAGCTGCATTTAGATCACTTGGAATTTTAAAACAATCAGGTTCCCAGGCCCAAGCACTGCGTAGTCTAAGACAATATTTTTTCATATGTGTTAACCTGCTTTCTGTGTCCATGGGCAGCTGCAGTCTGTCTGTATTGTAGGGGGTTCAGAATGAAGGCTTTGATATCTAAGGGTGGCTTGCGTCCTGACTCTGTCATTTCCTGTTTGACCGTCAGCACACCCCCACACCCCATCTGCGGCCTGGGGACAGGCCTCCTGGCCCCGGAGTGGGTGTGAGGCTAAGGAGCCCCGAGACCAGAGAGATACCTCCACGCAGGGCAGCCAGTCTTAGCCTGGTCTCCACACGGTGGCCCATTATCTTCGAACACGTTTGAGGGTGTTCGTATAACGGTCCAGAGAAGCATCTGAGACCAGTAGGAAGTCGTACAGCCAGTCCCTTGCCTCTGCTTGGGAAAGGAAGGTCAATCAGAGACAGGGGCGTGGTGGCAGTGGCTCCTGTGGGCTCCCAGCGCACGTACTTCCTGTTTGAATGGTTGTTTTTCTCCCATCCCTCTGCAGCGGAGATAAAAATCTGCTTCAAGTACTACCACGGCATCAGCGGGGCCCTGCGAGCCACCACGCCCTGCATCACCGTCAGGAACCCGGCTGTGATGGTGAGTCCTCCGAGCTATGTCCCGGGTGGTGGGCGGTCCCATGGGGTGGGCGGTCCCCGGGGGTGGGCGGGGGTTCCGGGGCCTCACCTTCTATTTCTGGCTGCTTATGGGGTACCATGAGAAGGAAATACAGGGCCCTGGGGGCTCCGCTTTAGGGAAGGAGATCACGGGCAGGCTGGCTGGGCTGCCTCCACAATTCTAACCTGCGGGGAATATGGTTTGATGGAGAGCAGGTTTGTGTAGACCAGTGTTTTTCAACCTTTTTTGGGCACAGGCACACTTGTTTCATGAAAAAAATCACGAGGCACACCACCATTAGAAAATGTTAAAAAATTTAACTTTGTGCCTATATTGACTATATATAAAGTAATTCTCTTGAATAGGAATCAAATAAACACAAAGAAAGTATTTTATAATTACTTTATTATGAAATATTAAGTAAACAAAATAGTGAAAAATTATAAAATTCTTGTCTTGTCTGCACCTACGGCACACCAGGCAACATCTCGCGGCACACTAGTGTGCCGCGGAACAGCGGTTGAAAAACGCTGGTGTAGACAGCTCCCCATGAAGCAGGTTATGAGTGCTCCCCCGTGGAAGGGGTTCCAGACTTCACTGTGTCGGTGGGAAATGGTAAGGTCGCATTTGAAGGTGAATTTAATTTGCAGGAGCTCAGTGATCAAAGGGAGAACAGTCATGGTGGAGAGGGTGTGATTCTGCCTGCGGACCAGTGAGCTTTCCCCCAAAGGGAGTGGGGGAGAGGGAGTGGGAGAGCATCTCAGTGCTGAGTCCCTCTCCAGGCCGAGCGGGGCCCAGTGCCTCCAGAGACCACACAGAGTCTTGTGCGACGTGGCCAGTCCGCGGCAGCCAGCCACATCCCCGGGCCCTCGGAGGGAGAAAGAGGTGTTTGATTTAGTTTGGGAGGGCACCATGGGTTTTGTTGGACCTTGAAGGGAAAGTCTGTCTGTCCATTTCCAACCTGGTACTTCCCAGGGAACTCCTTTTCTCAGGGTCCGGATTTTTCACTCCATCTACCAACCTTCGAATCTCACAGCCTCATTTTGCACCCGGGTGATTGGACTTAGAGAGTTTAGGGCAGTGCTTCTCAACCGTCCTAAACCCGCTGCCCTTTAGGAGAGTTCCTCATGGTGTGGAGACCCCCGACCATAAGATCATTGTCGTTGCTACTCCGTCCCTGTCATGTTCCTGCTGTTAATGAATCGTAATGTAAATACCTGTGTTTTCCGATGGTCTTAGGCTCTACGGGTCGCGACCCACGGGTTGAGAACCGCTGCCGTGGAGCCTAAGACCCACGTTGAAAAGGATCCCCCACATTTCCTAGATAAGCCTTGGAAGTCCACAGGAGAGTAACAGTGGGTGACCACAACCTCTGCCGTGTCACACAGCGGGCAGTGCACGTGCTTTACTGAATCTTCCAAAGAGAAACAACGCAAAGCCAGACGCGTGGCCCTGTTTGCCATAAAACCCTCTGAAAAAAAAAATCAACTGCCTGTGAAATTAGACAATAGCTTCCAAACACGGTTTTTCTGAACTCAGAATTTTCATTTATCTCGTTTAGACTTGAGCGGTTTCAACGATCCCCTATCCCTGAAGGCAGCGGGAGTTCACCCCGGTGGGGGGGAACATTGATCTCATCCCATTGATCTCTGCGTTGAGATTACTCTGTCTTGTCCCGGGCCTCGTTTGGAGATAATTAATTTGCCTCAGAGCACCTTAACCGCTTCGCCGATACAGCGCTTGCGGTCAGAATAGAACGCTGTGGTTCCCAGGGTGACTCCTAGGACGCGTGGCCGGGAGTTCCCTCACCCAGCGTGGGGCGGCTGGGTCTGTGCCACGTGTCTGTGCCGCCCGCGTGGTGAGGGTGAGCACCGTGTTTGTACCCAGTGAGGTGGCCGTCGGGGGACCCGGCCTGTGGCCTGTGTGAGTGATTGAGACGGATAAACGGCGCTGAGAGTCACAAAGCCCCCTTGGAATAGTCCCGGGAGACGTCCCTGGGTGCCTCCCTCGGGAAGGACACGAGCTGCCACCCTCCTCTGCTCCTCTCTCACACATCCTTCTGCAGGGAGTCCAGGGCACACCCCGCGGTGCCCGCGCTGTCGCTGGGACTTGGACGTCCCTGTGGTTCCTCCGAGCACACGGTGGTGTGTGTCTCAGACGCCCGGCACAGGAAATCCTTTGGCCTCAGGGACAGGCCAGGGCTGCCCCTGCTCACTGCCATGTATTGTTTCTGCCCAGGGTTGACAGTGTTGCTTCTGGCTTCTCCTGGAACGAATCTAGGGAGTGAGCTTATTTAAAAACCTTCCTCCCAGCGGCGAGGGCAGGCATGTTTGTCATCGCTCACGCCCCATAGCTCGAGGGCCTGCGTGCTCCTACCGGCATTATGGTCGCGGGCGATCACAGGGAATGCTCCGGGCATGCTTTCAGATGGTCCTTTTGCCACCGTGGCGGGAAAGGACAGGGTTGATCCGTGAATTCTGTGAACATTGTTTCACATTAATGTTTTGACGGGCAGTGAATTACATCTTTAAAATGAGACTCCAAGGGCCCAATTTTTGTTTGTTTTGTTTTGTTTCTGTAATATCTTCTAGTATTTTAAATATGTTTTCGGGAAACCTATTTGAAGTTTGTTTTTAAAAGACAATGAGTCTTCCCGGTCTCCTTTAACTCACGTGGGGTGTCTCTTCGCAGGAAGGGTCATTGTGTCTTGGGGGCGGTACAGCGCCCAGGGCCGTGGGGTCCGTTTGAGGGGTCTGGCTGTCTCAGCTGCAGACCATTTTCCCTTGCTGCTCGCTGCTTTGCAGTGTGGGGCTGTGCGTGGTGAAAGCAGGACGAGGTAGTGACCAGCCATCGGGAGCCTGGCTGGTTTGCTGTTGTCCCGCCGGTCAACCTGGGGTGGGGGTGGGGGGATGAGTCAGAGAAGGTGGCACTCGGTGTGATGAGGCATACATGCTCACTGAGAGCCAGCCCGGTGTCGTCAGGACTTGGTTTGATGGGTGGAATGTAAAAGGATACCTGGATGGGACCCGAGGAACCTGCAAATGACATGACCAGGAAGCCGTTAAGTGCCACGCAAAATGGTTTGGACCAGATTACAGGAAGTAGAGGAGGAAGTAGATGTGGATATTTCAGCATTTGCATGGAACTCATTTAGGAGTTTTCCAGCTTTTCTTGGGTTAGTGAATGTTTTATTTGTTGGTGGCATAAGATTTTTAAAGGAGCGTGGGGAGTGTCCCAAAGATAAAAGATGGATGGGTGTGATATAAATGACCATGTTTTCTCTTTTCCAACTATTCAACATATATTCTGCCTCCTGTCTGTTTCTTACAGCATTGCAGATGGGTTTTTTTTGTTTTGTTTTTAGAAAACTATGAAATTTTGTTTCCTAGTATGCCATAATTGAGCACTCATTGTACATACGTTGAAGGAAAGGCTGACTCTGCCAAGTGGTCTATAAATGACGGGTTTCATGAGATAATTTACTCAAAAGCTTTTAGGAAAAGCTCCATATACAGTGATTAGTACAGTAGCGTTGAGAATGCCTATTATAACTAATTTTAACAGCAGGTGCCATGTACCTGTAACTCAGTCATGTAGGCGCCCCTGAAGGGCGATGGGACATCCATGTGGCCACTCAAAAATATTTGGCGAGAGAGGATCATTCTATATACATATGGATGAGTCTGGTGTAAATCGCATGTTTGGTTTATTCTAGGGTTTTCTAAAAGGTCTGAAGGAATTTGATGTTTGATTTTTTTTTTAACTGAAGGAATGTTTCCATATAGTAATAGCAACGTAAGTCCATTTATAACCTATCGACTATCTTCTTACCAAAGAACCAAAAGAACATAAAGTCAGCTGATTCGTATCCCAGGGAATCTAGAAGCTCCTATCGGTGATCTAATTTTGGATAAAGATGAAGTTAGGTCTGCTCTTTCTCTCATCTCTGAGAATCTGCATTTGTGTCTTAATTCCAAGCTCTGCGGCATAGGAAAGGCATATACTACATGCATGCTTGGTACAAACATCATCACATTGGCAAACATACGTGATTCCCCAGGAAGGCTGAGAGCCTCAGACCCCGTGAGGCTTCAGACACGTGTTTTTTGTCTGCAGATGGGGGCAGAAGGTGCGGAAGGAGGTGCGTCCGGAAGCCCGCATTCCCGGAAGCTCGTCAGCTTCACGCTGTTCGGTAAGGCCGCCTTTCCTTGGCATGATGTCTAGCTTGAAAGCATGTGATTTTAAGGGCCTCAGTAGTCCCTTCTTCTACAGATTCTCATATGTTCTAGGTGGACTAGTTAGTCATTGATTGGGGGAGGGGGGGAAGAGGTCATACTTCCGAAATTCAAGTATATCTTTTACCAGGATAAAAAATAGATCATTGATATAAACTCAGCAGTTACTTCTTCTAACGAGTTTTCTGGCGGGAAAAAGACTAACTGTGCATAATTACTTTTAAAAAAAAAATCTCCAATGTGAACCCCACATGAGGGTGTTGGTTATTGAACATGATTTGTGCTTACCTCATCTAGAGAAAGGGCAATGTGGAAACTAGGGGGGAAAAGCCGAGGGAAACCCCCATTTCTGTGGAGGAATACACATAAACAAAGAAAGAGGGTGAAACAATTTTTTTTTTTCTGGTTGCTGCAATATTCTAATTGCTTGCATGTGTATCAAAAACGAATGCATTGGTGGTGAGCGGGAACTCATTGGCAGTTTACAAGGCTTATTTCATTGAAACTAGCAATTTAGGAAAGAACAGAAAAAGATCAGTTGACCACCAAAGGGAAATAGTTTTTCACAGAACATCAGTTTATACAAACGGAAAAAAATTCATGCAAGAAAATAAAAACACGTCTGTATGTGTGCCTGTGGGTTTCTGTGTCAAATGTTACTTCGTATGTAGGAAACTCAAAAAAGTATGAAGGCTCTGATTTTTAAAAAATGAACGGGCAGTCACAACGTCAAGAATTCACTAAGAAAGTCAGCGTCAGCGTTTAACATGGGCTTTTAAAGCCGCCGACTCTGCTACAGCACATCCAAAATCAAGTCTAACCGATGCCTGCCACTGTCAGATGCTTTGCTTTCGTTTTCCCATCTGTGTTGTGCTTCTGAAACTTAAGTTCAGTTCACTTTCTTGGCTGCAAAACATGTGCATGACAATGCATGTTCTCACGCGTGAGGGGGAGCAGGCTGATCTCGGAAACAGACGTGGCGACGGTGTGCCCTCCTCGCATATATGACCACAGGGCACACAGGGTGGCGCTCACTTCTGCCAGGGCCTTCGGGTACGTGTCTTCCCAGCAGACGAGGCACTTCCTGGGAAAGCTTCCTGGGCTGTGTTTCTTGGCAGGTCTCCGCGGTGGTAAATGGGTGACTTATGGTTCAAATTTGGCCAGTACGTATGTTTTGGCTGGAACCCTCAGGGTTTACCAATGTCGAGGTTTTCAGCAGGGCACTTAGACGTACCACTGCCTGCGACACTCCCCTGTCCCCTCATCTGTCCGTCTCTTGAGAACATGGCAGGTCCTGTACTTTAGCCCTCATGGCCCTTGACACTTACCCAAGAGCAGTTAAGCCCTGTGGAGTGGCTGCCTGCAAACTCTCTACTTGTGCAGGGGCAGAAGTCCGTTCTTCATCGGTGGGGCACACGAACCAGCCTGTGTGGCTCAGGAAATTTAGTTTGGCCACACCGTGGTTTTTCCCAGTGATCGGTATCATTCTGAATAGGATACACACAGCCCAGGTGGTGTGGCTCAGTGGCATTCGTTCAATATCTAAGTGACCGAGGCTGTTGGAAACGTAACCTCACAGTAGGTGGCATTCGGATTTCAGAAACAGTTCTGCTCTCCCAGTTTCCCCATCGCCCATGGCAGCTGTGGGGTACACGTGACACTGTAAACCCGTGTAACTGAAAGGGTGCTCAGCAGCGTTGCCCCCGTTAAATGTAGGCCAGTGCATTTCATGTATGTATGTCCTTCATTTTTTCTCTCATGAAGGGACCTATTGTGTGTGTGTGTGTGTGTGTGTGTTTTAAATAAACAGTCGACTAAGGATTTCTCTTAAGACATGGCAATGCTGGCTGCCAACCCACATTCACGTTAGAATCCAAATGACGCCAGGAGGGGGTGCAGGCATGTGAGGTGGGAGAAAGTTTGGTCTCCTGCTTGCAGCCGCTTAGGAGCCCTCTCCGCTGCGATGAGTTAGCCACGACCGGCTTGTCCTCGCCTCCCTACTTGATCGCGGCATGAATAACGGCGTTATCGTCTCACCAGTCGCTTCTGTTCAGCGCTTCCTGTCTGATCATTTAAGAACAACTTGTCGTTGAGCTGTTTGTCCTTTGGTTTCTTGTCCCCTGCCCTCCTCTTCCCTCCCCCCTCTCCCCGCCCCTTCTCTCTCTTTCTTTGAAGATCTCAGAGCTGTTGGGCTAAAGAAAGGGATGTTCTTCAACCCGGACCCTTACCTGAAGATGTCCATCCAGCCGGGGAAGAAGAGCAGCTTCCCCACGTGCGCCCACCACGGCCAGGAGAGGCGGTCCACCATCATCAGCAACACCACCAACCCCATCTGGCACCGAGAGGTAAGGTGGGCCTCAGGGGCCGAGACGTGGCAGGCGAGGAGCTGGCCAGCTCCACCCCTTCCCTCCGGACTCTGCGCATCATTGAACTGTGTACAGGCGTGAGCAAGAGGGGTCTGCAGGGTGTTAGAGAGAGGGCACGGTGAGCATGAGATACCCCTCCAGCCAGGGCTGGCCTAGGGTCAGGCAAGGGAAGCATCGCTGGTGCACAATGTAAAGGGTGCCAAAAGACTCAAAAATAGAAAGAAATACTCCCCCCCCCCCCTTTATTGATTAAGGTATTACCTATGGGTCCTTATCCCCCCATTGTTCCCCCACCCCCTCCCTCATGCCCTCACCCCCCATGGTGTTCGTGTCCATTGGTTGGGCTCATATGCATGCACACAGGTCCTTTGGTTGATCTCTTCCCCTTACCCCCACCCTCCCCTGCCTTCCCTCTGAGGTTTGACGGTCTGATCGATGCTTCTCTGTCTCTGGATCTGTTTCTGTTCATTAGTTTATGTTCATCATGTTCCACAAATGAGTGAGATCATGTGATCATGTGGTGTTTATCTTTCTCTGACTGGCTTATTTCATTTAGCATAATGCTCTCTACGTCCATCTATACTGTTGCAAATGGTAGGCGTTCCTTCCTTTTTTTACAGCAGTGTAGTATTCCATTGTGTAGGTGTACCACAGTTTTTTAACCCATTCATCTGCTGATGGGCACTTCGGCTGTTTCCAAATCTTAACGATGGTGAATTGTGCTGCTATGAACAAAGGGGTGCATATTTTCTTTCTGATCAGTGTTTCTGGTTTCTTGTGTTATATTCTTAGAAGTGGGATCACCGGGTCAAATGGGAGTTCCATTTTTAGTGTTTTTTGAGGAAACTCCATACTGTTCTCCACAGTGGCTGCACCAGTCTGCATCCCCACCAGCAGTGCACGAGGGTTCCTTTTTCTCTGCACTTGCTGTTTGTTGATTTGTTGATGATAACCATTTTGACAGGTGTGAGGTGGTACCTCATTGTCATTTTGACTTACATCTGTCAGATGATTAGTGACTTTGAGCATGTTTTCATAGTTTAATGCACTATGTGTGTGCATTTAATGATTTCTAGTTTTTAAAAAATATTTTCTTATTGATTTCAGAGAGGAAGGGAGAAGGAGAGAGAAACAGAAACCTCAATGAAAAGAGAGAATCATTGATCGGCTGCCATCTGCACGCCCCACACTGGGGTTGAGTCCACAATCCGGGCATGTTCCTTGACTGGGAATCAAACTGTGGCCTTCTGGTTCCAACCACTGAGCCATGCCAGCTGGGCTGCAATCTGTTCTTTAAAAGGTCAAAGTCAATGCTAACACATGATGAGAACAAAGTGTCAGAATGTGGAGACGGGACAGGCCCGGCAGCATTGTCTTACAGTCGCACTGGACCTGGAGGCAGACGGGGAAATCAGAGATGTTGATGGTTTTCATTTAAAATGTTGGCCTTTGGTTCTCGCGTGTATTCAGTACAAATGAGAGGAGTTTCCCCGCCTGCAGGCTTTGGCAACTGTGTTTGGGGTTTCCGGATTTCAGGAAATTTGACGTGCGCCTAGAAGATGAAGCCAGATTGTGTTGATGGCACTCAGCTCCCTCCCCGCCCCCTTATGCTTCCGGTGGGCTCGGTGCTTGGGCCCCGGAGCCCTGGCGAGGGGCTCTCCCTAGAACTGCAGAAAGTCCGAGAACGAAAGATCCCGTTTTTCATCGAATGCGGACAGCGTGGCTCCCTACGGTTTCTTTGAGAACCAGGACACATTTCCAGGACTAGATAGAGCGTTTCTGGGTGAACCTTTGTTGGCATATGGGCCACACAGTTAATTACAACATTCCCTCACTTCGTGGTCGGCAAAACGCAGCTTGCGAGCCATATGCGGCTCTTTGGCCCCTTGAGGGTGGCTCTTCCACAAAATACCATGGCCGGGGTGAGTCTATGTTGAAGAAGTGGCGTTAGGAAAAGTTTAGGTTTAAAAAATGGCTCTCCAAAGACATTTCCATCGTTGTCATGTGGATATTTGGCTCTGTGGACTAATGAGCTGGCCGGCCACTGGTCTAACTGTTAGTTGGCCGTCTTGCGCGGGCAGTGTGTGGACGTGTTTCACGGGAGAGGGAGAGGGAGAGGACTCAGGGGTCCCAGAGCCAACTGGAGAGAAGATATGGCTCTTTGAGCCGTGCCGGCCCAGCCAGGTGTTTCTCGGGGAGAGTTCTCAGGTTATTGAAACAGATAAAAGTATGTTTCCTTATTCCTGGTTTTAAAAACTACTACTTACTGTCTCCAAAATAGTAAATCACGTGTAAAGGCGGACCACCTAATTTCAACACATTAGAAGCCTAGAAAACACATAAAGTTTATCTCCACATGAGCCCTAGCAGGCAGAGAGTGCAATAATTAACCATAACTTTATTTCCCTCACATTTGTTACTTACAAAGTTCTGACCCACGTGGCCAGTGCCAGCCTCAGGAGGGGGCATAGTATTTACTTGAATATTTACCAAGGAAACCAGGCTATTCGATAGATGTTTCTACTTTAGCAGGCGTACTTGAACCTTTGTTGGGCAACTACTACATAACATGGGATCAGGAATGAAAATTGCTGTGAACCAAATATATCGGTTCATTCTAAACCATCCAACACCTGCATATTAAATGTCAAAGAATTAAGATACAATAAATATACAAAGACTAAAATTGTATTGTGCACAATTACTATTTGGTAACATTTCCTAAAAATGTGGAAGTAGGAAAGGATGTGGTCATACAGATCCCTAGCTGTTGGATTTGTTTTTTTAAAAATATATATTTTTATTGATTTCAGGGAGGAAAGGAAAGGGATAGAGAGACAGAAACATCAATGATGAGAGAGAATCATCGATCAGCTGCCTCCTGCATGCCCCCCACTGGGGACCAAGCCTGCAACCCAGGCATATGCCCTGACCTGGAATCGAACTGTGTCCTCCCAGTTCATAGGTCGATGCTCAGCCACTGAGCCACGCTGGCCGGGCAGCTGTTGTTGTTAATTGTTGTGAGTGTTAATGAGCCTGAGTGAATAAAGGATTGACAATAGCTGCAGCGCCTTCTAGCAACTTGGACTCCGCATGTCATGAGGATTGAAAAGCGATAGCATTTCCTATCATAATAAATGACGTCATTTTCTTTCTGTCTTTTTCTGAATCGACCTGTTACCCGTTTTCATTTTCAGAAATACTCCTTTTTTGCACTTGTTACCGATGTCTTAGAAATTGAGATCAAAGACAAATTCGCCAAGAGCCGTCCTATCATCAAGCGTTTCCTGGGGAAGCTGACCATCCCCGTGCAGCGGCTGCTGGAGCGCCAGGCCATCAGGTAACCAGCCCCCCCTCCCCTCGAACATCTCCGACTGGGCCTTTCAGGGTGTGGGGTGCACAGAACCAGCTGAAATGAAGCTTTCATTTCCGGCCCTAGGCCTGTGCTTACTGATAAGCAGTGATGACACATATCTTTTAAAAGCAGAAATGCTCCTACATGAAGACGTGCAGGAGAAAGCGCTCCGGTTGAGTTACGCACGGGTTTGGGGTGTCTGTCTTTCCCCAGGTGGCCTGCTCCTAGCATTTCTGCACCAGATCGCAGGGCCCAGCGGAGCGAGCGGGGTCTTGTGGAATCTTTCTAGAAAGGCCTGTCCCCAGGGCAGGGTCCTGGTGCTGGGTTGACTCCTCCCCCATCCGGGTTGGTCCCATCCGGGAACTGGTTGACAGTAGAACTCTTAGTCATGTACATTCACTTAGGCGGCTGTCACTTACTTTTGCTGTCTGGGAGCCTTTTGTAAGTCGTGGGTAACGTAGGTAAGAAATCATAACACACCTCCTCCCCTTGTTATAAATGGCCTGTCGCTGTGTACATGGTGAGTGCCAGCAGATGCGGTGACACCGGCGCTCTGAGGCGACACTTGGACTTTGGTCATTGTAGGAGAACGTGATGTGACGCGCAGGGGGTGGTTGCAGTAGCCATAGCAGCAGTGAAGGGAGTCATAGTAGTGAGAGGATCATAGTAGTAAGTGGAGTCATAGAAGTAAGAGGAGTCATAGTAGCAAGGTTAGTAATAGTAGTAAGGGTAGTAATAGTAGCAAGGGTAGTAATAATAGTAGTAAGGTTAGTAAGAGTAGCAAGAGTAGTCATACTAGTAAGGATAGTAGTAATAGTAGTAAGGATAGTAGTAATAGTAGTAAGGGTAGTCATAGCAGTAAGAGGAGTCATAGCAGTCAGGGCAGTCAGGGCAGTAAAGGTAGTCATCGTAGTAAGGGTAGTCATAGTAGTAAGAGGAGTCGTAGTAGTAAGGGTAGTAATAGTATTAAGAGTGGGGACAGCAGCCGTGTCAGTGCCCGCAGCACTCCTGGCTGTGGTTCCCAGCTGTACTCATCCTGGCAGAGCTAGTGAATAAAAAGGATGCCGAGACTCGCTCTCTGTCAGGAGTTAAGCACTGGAGACACATTAGCTCATATCATCCTCTCAACAACTCTGGGAGGTGAAGAATGTCATTAAACCCATTTCAGAGATGAGGAAGGAGAGGCCCCGGGCAGGGAGTGGAGCTGGGAGCTGAGTGCAGCTCCATCCTCTCTGGACTCTGGGTTCTCTGCAGCCAGGGAGGGTGAGGGCCACAGGAACATCCTTTGGCTGGTGACCTGGGGGAGGCGGGCACCCACGTTCCCCTGCAGCTGATTCGCTGGGCTGGCACCACGGCTTCCGGGGCCTTTTATTTAACAAATGTGGGTATGGGTGTGTGTGTATGGGTGTGTGTGTATGGGTGTGTGTGTGTTTGGGTGTGTCTGTGTTTGGGTATGTGTGTGTATGGGTGTATGTGTATGGGTGTGTGTGTATTTGGGTATGTGTGTGTATGAGTGTGTGTGTGTGTGTGGATGTGTGTGTATTGGGGTATGTGTGTGTATGAGTGTGTGTGTTCGGGTGTATTTGTGTATGGATTTATGTGTGTGTCAGTATGGGTGTGTATATGTGTATGTGTATGGGTGTTTGTATGTTTGGGTATGTATATGTATGGGTGTGTGAATACGGGTGTGTATATGTTTGGGCATGTATGTGTATGTGTGTATGAGTGTGTATGTGTTTGAGTGTGCATGTTTGGGTGTGTATGTATTTGGGTGTATGTGTGTGAGAGTATGAGTGTGTATATGTTTGGGTATGTGTGTATGGGTGTGTATGTGTTGGTGGGTGTATGGTGTGTGTATGGGTGTGTATGTGTTTGGGTGTGTGTGTGTGTATGGGTTGTTTGTATATGGGTATGTGTGTGTTGGGTGTTGGGGATGTGATAGTGAACAAAACAGATGGGGCAATTCTGTCTTTCCAATCCCTCTGCACATTTATTTCCTACTAAAAACCATCCCTTTTATGTCTTCCTCATCAACACAAACCCTTTGCTTTTATTGCCGAAGGAGGAGAGGAGAGGAGGGGAGAAAAGAGGAGGGGAAGAGAAGGTTAGTTTAGTTTTCCCAAGGAAAGGAAGGTTTTTATTGCTCCAGGACTATGTGTCCACAGAGCAGGCGAGGAGCTAAAATGTAGGGAGCCGACGTGGGTAGCTTGCTGCTGGGCCTGTGTGTTGGGTTCAGAGATGGAGCGCGTGCATGCCCGTGCGCGTGCACATGTGTGTGTGTGTGTGTGTGTCAGGTGAGGAAGAGGACCCCTGGATCTGCAGCCAGTGTGTAATATGATTTCAACACTAACGTGGAAGCATCCCACACACCTGTCATGTCTAATAGTCACCGATTCCTCTACAGAAAAAAGCTTTAAAATACTAAGTTTAGTGGGAAAAGCATCACGATGGGGTCACACTGAGGTGAGCCATGAGGAAATGCATGTCACGAAGACACGTGTTCCTGAGAGACATACAATCACACATTCTAAGTGAAAGGAGGTTGACGGGGACAGCAGGGCCGGGCTTCTGTGTCCTGACCCTGGCTCTGTCCCCCCTCATGTCTGGCGGGGGGCAGGTTGCTTCTCCTCCCTGTGCCGGCACCTCTAGCCAGCAGGGCCTCCCCCAGAGCATGCTGGGAGGGTAAAAGAGAAGATGCAGGCAGAGTCCTCCTGCGGAGTGTGAGTGACAACACAGAGACTCAGTTTGGGGAAACAAGGCATTTTAAAAGCATCAGCCAAGACCCGACAAGTCCTCGCGGTGTCCAGGGAAGGAAAAGAGAGCAGGGAAGGGTGTGGTACTGGTTTATGCAGTTCTTGCTGTGGAGTCGGAGAACGTCGTAGGAGCTGACCTGGGATTGCACACCAGCCCGTGCTCTCTTACACAGACAGCATCCACTTCGCATTGCGCCGAGGAGCGGAGGAGCTCAAACAGGGATGCAAATTTTCTGTAATCGCCTGCTGGGGCCTGCACTGCACCTGCCAGCAGCAGGGAGAGGCGCGGCGCCTCTGGCAGCGGCCAGCAGAGGGCAGTGTGGGAGCGGAGATGGCGGGCCTGGGGACCAGGCCATGGTTGCCTTCCTCATTAAATGTAGGTCAGACTAGAAATGAAAGTTGCTTGCATACCAAGCACTGATGTAATTGCAGTTGACGTTGATAAATAAACACGAAATTGAAAAGACAGACAGTTCCATCCCGAGGAGGCTGGGAGCCTGAGCCAGGAGCCGAGGTGGGGCAGAGCCTGCGCAGGCCCACGTGGGGTCCCCTCAGCATGCCTGCCAAGGTGGCATTGAGACCCACCCCGGGGGCACATCCACCTCCTCCAGCCGCCCATCGGCTGGGGCCAACATCCCCTGACGGTGCAGGTGGACGGGGAGGTTCAGCATCCCGCTCCTCACTCCGCGGGACCAGCTGTCAGTATGGCTGCCGCCCCCCTCTCCCCCAGCCCATTCTTCAGTGCCCTCCAGGACCGGGATGCGAGAACCCTGGCCTGTGGGTCCTTCCAGAACCAGCTTCCTCACGAGCTGGGTGCCAAGGAACCAGGCCCCCTGTGTATGCACCTGAGCCTGGAAACCCCCCTCCTGTCAGGCCTTTCACAGCTCCTCCGTGATTCCCCGTGTCCTCTCCCCGGGCACCCTTCACAGCGAGAGCGAACCAGGGCACTTAAAAACCCCACATGGCCGAAACCGGTGTGGCTCAGTGGATAGAGCGTCGGCCTGTGGATTGTAAGGTCCCGGGTTCAATTCAGGTCAAGGGCATGTACCTCCATTGTGGGCACATCCCCAGTAGGGGGTGTGCAAGAGGCAGCTGATCCATGATTATCATCAATGTTTCTAACTTTCTCTCCCTTCCTCTCTGTAAAAAATGAACACGCTATACTGTATTTTCTGCTTTTACTAATAATTTTCCTGCTAGCAAGATTTCCTTTTTTTAAAAAAAATGTATTTTTGTTGATTTCAGAGAGGAAGGGAGAGGAGAGGAGAAGAGAGGAGAGGAAAGAGAGGAGAAGAGAGGAGAAGAGAGAGAGAGAGAGAGAGAGAGAGAGAGAGAGAGGGAGAGAGAGAGAAACAATGATGAGAGAGAATCATGGATCAGCTGCCTCCTACACACCCCACCCTGGGGATGGAGCCCACAACCGGGACATGTGCCCTTGACTGGGAATCAACCGTGACCTTCTGGTTTATATTAGGTCTAGTAATAATTAATGTCGTTTTCTAATACCTTTTTTTAAAATCGAATTTATATAAACAATACAACAAAATTTAATCAACAATATAGTTGCCATTGTTTTCTACTACTTGTGCCCAACGCTCAGGAAGCATTTTAATCCCTCTGTTGTAAAATTCTTGCGATTTTGATGCAAAAAATTCGGTCAATGCATTTTTGAGGCATTCTTCATTATTAAATTTTTTTCCAAGAAGAAAGTTTTGCAAAGAACGAAACAAATGGTAATCGGAAGGGGCAATATCAGGAGAATATGCAGGTTGAGGGAGAGCTTCCCATTCCAACTGGCGCAGTTTTTCAGCAGTGATTCTTGCAGTATGCGGTCGTGCGTTATCGTGGTGAAGAATTATGCCTTCCGATTAATCAGCGCGGGTTCTTTTTCTCTTAAAGCTTGGGCTAACCTTTCCAATTGGGCACTATACACTGCACTTGTAATGGTTTGGTTAGATGGTAAAAGTTCATAATGAAGAATTCCTTTAAAATTTCACCAAACACACAACATCACTTTTTTCGCATGCAAGTCAGGTTTTGGCGTGGGCTGCGGAGCCTCATTTTTGTCCAACCATTGAGGCCGCCTTTTCAAATTAACATACAGCACCCATTCTTCATCTCCAATAACAATTTGCTCTAAAAACGGCAAACGGTTTTGACGAGAGAGGAGCGAACTGCAAATTGTGACTCTTTGATTACGGTTGTTGTTGGTCAACTCATGAGGAACCCATTTTCCAAACTTTTGGGCTTTGCCAAGTGCACGCAATTGATTGGAAATTATTTTTTGTGAACAATCTAAAGTTGTTGCAAGCTCTTGTTGGGTAATTTGAGGATTTTGCACCAAAAGAGCTTGAAGAGCTTCTTGATCAAAATTGGACACACGGCCTCGACCACTCTTGTCATCTAACAAAAAATTTCCCTCGCGAAATTTCTCAAACCAACGCTGGCATTTTCTGGCACTAACTGCATCTTGACCAAGAGCACTACAGATGTTTTTTGCAGCCTCACTTGCTTTTCTTCCTAATTGGAACTCGTAAAGCATGCAGTGCCGAATATGCTCTTCATTCGCCATCTTCTTAGCCCTAGCTTTGCAACAAAAACTAAACCAAACACAAACTTTTTCAAGCAAAACTTGTTAATTGCACTTCACACGTTCTGTAGATACCACGTGTTTGAAGGTTATGTCAATACAAGTCAACGCCAAGCAAGATTTTAAACGAATGTTTAAAAACGACATTAATTATTACTAGACCCGATAGGTCAATGCTCAACCACTGGGCCGTGCCACTGGGCTGAGAAGATTTCCTTTATCCAAGTATTCATTTGTTCGAGTGAATAGTATTGCATTGGACTCACACATGCCTTTGAGCCTTTCATTTTCTTATGAGTCTGCAAGTGTTAAGAGAAGCACGTGGGATTCGGGGCAGTGGGCGGGGCCGGGCGGGAGGGGATGTGGGGAGAGGACGAGGGCTGGCACCAGTGCAGAAGGATGAACGCCCTTTCTCCTCCACAGCGACCAGATGCTGAGCTACAGCCTCGGCAGAAGGCTGCCCGCCGACCACGTGAGCGGGTACCTCCAGTTCAAAGTGGAGGTTACGTCCTCGCTGCACGAAGGTGAGAAGCCGGGATAAGTCCGTCCGCGTGGGGAAAGGCGTCGCGTCTGCGTTGTCCGTGTGCGGGTGCATAGATAGACTCCGATGGGCGTCCGGTTCTGCAAATAAGAACAGCGGCCCAGCCGTGACCCGGAGGTGGAGGGTCCCGCGGCGACGCCACGCCTGCTTACCAGAACCGTCTCTCTGGCGCGGGCACCTGTCCACAGCAGTGAAGGCATACACTGCCTGTGTCCGTGAGGCCGGCCGCAGGCCCGCTCCCAGCAGGCGTGAGTCCCAGCGCCTTGGCGGCGGCGGGAGGAGGGCTCAGCGGGAGGACTGCGTCCTGTGATGACGGGGCGGTTGACCAGGGAACAGGACGGGAGACGTTCATTGGTGACGCACGCCGCTTTCTCCCGCAGATGCTTCCCCGGAGGCCGTGGGCTCGATGCTGGGGGCCGGCTCCGTGAACGGAGACCTGGGCAGCCCTTCTGACGAGGAGGAGGTGCCCGGGGCCCACCCCGACGGCCCGGCCTGCCCCAACGGGCCGGCGTCCGAGGACAGCGCCGAGGGCACGCCCAAGCACTCCCTCAGGACCAGCTCCGCCCTGGACGGGGACGCCGAGGACCTGACCTCCATGTCCTCCCGGAGCTCGCCGCCCCGCGGGCGCCAGGCTTCCCTCCACGACTACCTGGACGCCGGGGGCCACGACGGCCCTGCCCGGCCGGGCCCCGCGCCCGGCGCCGCCGCCGAGCGGCCCGCGGGGGCCTCCCCGAAGCTGAGGAGCAGCTTCCCCACGGACACCAGGCTCAGCGCCATGCTCCACATCGACTCGGACGAGGAGGACCACGAGCTGCCGCCCGGCCTGGGCTCCCCGTCGTCCCCGGAGGACGAGGGGGGCCTGATCATGTTCGGGGGGCCGCCGAGGACCGACGACGCCGGCAGCCTGTCCTCGCAGACGAAGCTGGAGGACAGCCCGCCAGAGGCCGAGGAGGGCCCCACGCAGGAGGCCGCCTCCCCGGAGGGGAAGCCGGAGGGGCCCCCGGAGCTGGCCGAGGGCCCCTCCCCGGCAGGCCCTGCCCCGGGGGAGAGCGGAGAAGATGGGCCGGCGTCTCAGGCCGGCGCCGACCCGGACCCGGACGACGGCACGGAGCCCTGCGGCTCCCAAGAGGCGGACCCCACCCCGCGGGGGGCAGACGCGGGCCCCCCCGACACGCCGGGAGGAAGCCAGCGGGCCGCCAGCGAGGCCGAGTCCCTGGACCAGGGCTCCGAGCCCTCCCAGGTGTCCTCGGAGACGGAGCCCAGCGACCCCGCCCGGACCGAGAGCGTGAGCGAGGCCAGCACCCGGCCCGAGGGCGAGAGCGACGCGGAGGGCGCCGACAGCTCCTGCCACGAGAGCGCCGCCACGCAGCTGTCCTCCGTGGACACGCGCTGCTCCTCCTTCCCCGACACCCCCACCTTCTCCTCCCAGGAGGAGGAGGAGGACAGGGCCTGCGCGGGGGAGCCCCCCGGCGGCGGCGGCCCCGCCCCCCGGGGGCCGCAGGAGGCCTCGTGCGCGCCCGGCTCCCTGCCCGCCGTGCACATGCCCAGCGCCGAGGAGGAGGGGCCCGGGGGGGAGCCCGCCCCCTTCCCCGACCAGGACCGGGACGGGGACCGGGACCGGGACCAGGACCAGGACGAGGGCGCGGAGGTCTGGCAGCGGAGGGGCAGCCTCGAGGGAGCGGCCGCCCCCGTGGAGAGCCAGCCCCAGGAAGAGGGCGATGCCAGCGGTGCCCCGGGGGCTGGTGAAGGGGCCGCCGCCCAGGAGGAGGGCGCCACTGGAGGTAGGAGGTGGGGGGCAGCATGGCGCTGGGCTCAAGCCGCCTGCCAAAGAGGTGGCCTTGTCCCTCAGTGCCCATTAGGCTGCAGGGCCTGCATGCGTCACTGCAGGGCTCAGTGGTTAGCGCTGTTAGCATTCTTCAACAGACCCTCCGATGCTGAGAGAAGAGGCCAGTCTGAGAAGTCTTGAGGATTAGAGAGTGAGTCTTGAGGCTCCGGGTCAGGAATATGTTGTGGGGACCTGGTCTCCCCAGGAGGATGGCCCGTGGGGGGCGGGGGGCGCTGGGAGCCTGGAGGGCCTCGATGCCCGAGGGCAGGTGCGTAGGCGTGAACTGCACGCGTGCGCGCGCGCGCGGGTACACACACACACACACACACACACACACACACACACACACACGAGGCCCTGGTCTGGGCAGCATAAGAGCAGAACTGAGCGTACGCGACGCATCTCGGGTGGGACCTGAGTTTGCAGACACAGAACCACGTGGGCCAGCTGCTTCAAGGTCAGTGTGGCCCGCAGGGGTTTTCGGAGACACCTGGAGGTTCACCTGCTCGGGTGCAGCTTGCCAAGGAGAAAGGGGCGAGGGCTTTGCGTCGGGTGAATGCGTTTGCCGTGTCTCTGACTGTCTTGGGTGCAGATGGACATAGAAACCGTATTGTGTGTCCAGGAAGGTGGACTATTCCTTTCAAATGTTCCGTTACAGATGCACCAGCAAGCTGAAGGGCAATTTCCTCAACAGCACAGACTCAGAAATGGGAAGGGTTTTCTGACTCTGACATTTATTTTTTTTTAAAATACATTTTAATCGATTTTAGAGAGACAGGAAGGGAGAAGGAGAGAGAGACAGAAACATCGATGAGAGAGAGGCATCCATGGGCTGCCTCCTGCACGCCCCCTACTGGGGCTCGAGCCCACCCCTAGGGCCTGTGCCCTGACAGGGAATCCAGCTGTGACCTCTCCGTTCATGCGCCGATGCTCAACCCCTGAGCCACACTTACTTTCCTAGCTAAAGGGTGCCCCTTCCTTTCTTCCTCCCTCTCCTGTTGTGGTTGCTTTGTTCCCTTCCTTACGCTGTGGCCACATGTGTGGGAGGTGACACTAAAGCATGAGCGCATGACCAGGACAGCGGTGAGGGGGGAGGGAAGAGGAGGGGAGGGGAGGGGAGAGATGGGTGTAGGTGGATGTCTCTCGAGATCCCAGTCACCTCCTGTTTTCTTCTCTTTCTGGGTCTTCCTGTGGGAAGTGAGACTCCAGAGAGAGAGGAGACTAGCCCCCTCATTGGTTAGCGTTTCGGTACAATATCGCATTCATGTGCTGCTGGTCTGTACGCCAGTCTGTCTGACTGTTTAAGATCGTGGACATGGACGGGGGCGGCACCTGGATAACGTGTACCTCTGATCCTAGGTGCCCAGGCCAACGGCCACCAGCCCCTGCGCTCGCTGCCGTCCGTGCGCCAGGATGTCAGCCGGTACCAGCGGGTGGACGAGGCGCTCCCACCGAGTAAGGACCTGCCGGGGAGAAGGTCACCGGGAAAACAGGGTGCGGGGTGGGGGCAGAACACATGGGGCCTGGGAATGGATGCCCAGTCCCCAGCCAATGCAGCGTGGAAGGTGACCCCGTGTGGAAGGTGATCCTGTGGAAGGTGACCCCGTGTGGAAGGTGACCCTGTGAAAGGTGACCCCGTGTGGAAGGTGACCCCGTGTGGAAGGTGACCCCGTGTGGAAGGTGACCCTGTGGAAGGTGACCCCGTGTGGAAGGTGACCCTGTGGAAGGTGACCCTGTGAAAGGTGACCCCGTGTGGAAGGTGACCCTGTGAAAGGTGACCCCGTGTGGAAGGTGACCCTGTGGAAGGTGACCCTGTGAAAGGTGACCCCGTGTGGAAGGTGACCCTGTGGAAGGTGACCCTGTGAAAGGTGACCCCGTGTGGAAGGTGACCCCGTGTGAAAGGTGACCCCGTGTGGAAGGTGACCCCGTGTGGAAGGTGACCCTGTGGAAGGTGACCCCGTGTGGAAGGTGACCCTGTGGAAGGTGACCCCGTGTGGAAGGTGACCCCGTGTGGAAGGTGACCCCGTGTGAAAGGTGACCCCGTGTGGAAGGTGACCCTGTGGAAGGTGACCCTGTGAAAGGTGACCCCGTGTGGAAGGTGACCCCGTGTGGAAGGTGACCCCGTGTGGAAGGTGACCCTGTGGAAGGTGACCCTGTGGAAGGTGACCCTGTGGAAGGTGACCCTGTGGAAGGTGACCCCGTGTGGAAGGTGACCCCGTGTGGAAGGTGACCCCGTGTGAAGGTGACCCCGTGTGGAAGGTGACCCGTGTGAAAGGTGACCCCGTGTGGAAGGTGACCCGTGTGGAAGGTGACCCGTGTGGAAGGTGACCCGTGTGGAAGGTGACCCTGTGGAAGGTGACCCCGTGTGGAAGGTGACCCCGTGTGGAAGGTCACCCGTGTGGAAGGTGACCCGTGTGGAAGGTGACCCCGTGGAAGGTGACCCCGTGTGGAAGGTGACCCCGTGTGGAAGGTGACCCCGTGTGGAAGGTGACCCGTGTGGAAGGTGACCCGTGTGGAAGGTGACCCCATGTGGAAGGTGACCCTGTGGAAGGTGACCCTGTGGAAGGTGACCCTGTGGAAGGTGACCCCGTGTGGAAGGTGACCCCGTGTGGAAGGTGACCTTGTGGAAGGTGACCCTGTTGAAGGTGACCCCGTGTGGAAGGTGACCCTGTGTGGAAGGTGACCCCGTGTGGAAGGTGACCCTGTGGAAGGTGACCCTGTGGAAGGTGACCCCGTGTGGAAGGTGACCCTGTGGAAGGTGACCCTGTGAAAGGTGACCCCGTGTGGAAGGTGACCCTGTGGAAGGTGACCCTGTGGAAGGTGACCCCGTGTGGAAGGTGACCCTGTGGAAGGTGACCCTGTGGAAGGTGACCCCGTGTGGAAGGTGACCCTGTTGAAGGTGACCCCGTGTGGAAGGTGACTCACTGTCCCCCTGCCTCCGAAAGGGCAGGGACCTGCTCTCTTGCTCCAGAGCCATAGATCTGATCCACTGCTGTTTGTACTTCATACCGATATTTCTTAGGAAAAATTCTTAGTTTGTCCAAGGAAAAAGTTCCATTTTTGAAGACAAGTTTTTTTTGTTTTTGTTTTTTTTGCTTGTTTGTTTTGTTTTTGTGGTTTTTTTTTTGTCAGAAAACGGAACTGTGTTTTCTTTTCTGCTTTAGCTGCCAGGAAATTTAGCCATATTGTAGTTATGACCTTAGCGGGGGAGCTTGGCAGCGTCTCTCCTCTGTTTCCTGTACGTTGCTGTCCGCTCTCTTTTTATCCCCAGTTGACCTAGCCTGTGTTTTGTTTTTGTGTTGTTTTGTTTTGTTTTGATTTTCCTCAACTGGAAGCTATTGATTGCACACATTCCCGGGGAGGGATGGCCGTTTGTTTCCATGTACGTTTGGTTTGGTTGGATACAGAGCGTCTGCCTGGATCATATAGCTCCATCGAGGAGGGGCTGAGAAGGGAATACTTGGTTCTCAGGAATCTTTGGGATGGGGACGTGTGCAAGGAGAGAGCGAAACCTCGGAGCAGATCCGAGGGTTTGGAGAGTGGGTCCTAGAATCAGGACCCCGTGGTTGCTCTTGGTCGGCGGGTGGCTGGTTGAGCCCAGGACCTTTTGGGAATGTCCTACTGAGGGGGGTGTGGCCCGCAGCCTGGCTCCTGCGCATGTCTGCTGTCTCGGGGCGTGAGTGGCTTCAAGGGTTTGCCTTCTCTGTGCTTTTCCTCAGCCCAGTTTTTCTTTCCTTTGCCATATGCCGGCATCCCAATGTGTTGAGATCAGCGAAAAAAAGACCTTTTGCTGCCCGCCCTCCCCCCTCCCCTTCCAGGCAGTCCTCCGTGATTGCCTGGTGCCACCGGCCGGGGTCTCGCATGCAGCCTTGCCAGCCCTGGGACTTGGCTGGAATACTTGCCCGTTCGACATGTTCGGCCTGGCCCCCAGGGCGCGGCCTGTGGTGTCTGTCCATTAGCTGTGTAATCACAGGAGCGTTTTGAAACAATCAAGCTGCTTAGGGGAAAGGGGCTTATTAATGTGGAGAAATAATTAGGATGGAAAGGGAAATGTGCGAGGACTTGCCTGGTTAAAGAACAGACCTCAGCTGCTTTCCCACGTCAGTGACTCTTCCCAACTGCGCCTGATTCTGAAGGTTTTTGCCTTTTGAAACCATGAGCTCATGCTCCGGGCATTTTAATAGGGGAGAGCCTTTGATCGGGTCCCGGAGCCGGGAGGTTTGGCGCTGAGGACCGCTCTGCTAGCTGTTTGCACCGCACGTGCACTTATGTGCTTGTGTGCGAAGACGCACACACGTCATCAGCGAGACCGCTTACGCGTACCAGTAGACAGTCCTTTAAAACATCGTGCTGCTGGGAGGTGGGGGGCAGCCATGTGTTCTGGCTCTGAACACGTGCTCGTCTGTGGAACCGTGCAGACGGGGCGCGGGGGCAGCGGTGCTGTGTGCGGACGGGGCTGCGTTCTTATCTTCTGAAGACCATTTCCTAAAATTGTATGTAAATATGCACAAGGGCCTTTCCAGCAGTGAGGGTGTTTTTTTAATTTTTCTTAATTTTCAAAAATTGATTTCATAGGGAAAGGGAGAAGGGGAGAGAGAGAGAGAGAAATATCCATGATGAGAGAGAATCATTGATCGGCTGCCTCTTGCCTGCCCCCTGCTGAGAATGGAGCCTGTGACCAGAGCGTGTGCCCTTGACGAGAATAGAACCTGGGACCCTTCAGTCCACTTGCTGACACTCTACCCACTGAGCCACACTGGCTAGGGCCAGCTATGAGATTTTTTATGTAAGTTGGGGGCGGGAAAAAAAAAAACAGGGAAAAAAACCTTGCTTTGGGGAAAGTAAACAGCAGTACCAATTTTGACGGGAATGCCTAAAGCCTTAGGATACTAATTATATCTTAAAAATACTGGTGCTCATCCCTAAGGATGAGTGTCGTGGGCAGTTCTGTGCGTTCAGAGCATCTTTAAAGGCTGGCATTCTGCATGCAATGCGGTCTTCACCAGGCCTTCTTAGAGAAAAGCGCGATCATTGTATGACAGCCAGCTGACCATTCCATGGGGTCACAGAGGAGACACGTAAATGTAACTAAATGTGATTAAATGCTGCATAGATTTATGTTTCAAAAGAAGTGATCTGGCCCTGACCAGTATGGCTCAGTGGATAGAGCATCAGCCTGCAGACTGAAGGGTCCCAGGTTTGATTCCAGTCAAGGGCATGTACCTTAGTTGTGGGTACATCCCTAAGTAGGGGGTGTGCAGGAGGCAGCTGATGGATGTTTTCTCTCTCATCGATGTTTCTAACTCTCTGTCTCTTTCCCTTCCTCTCTGTAAAAAAATAAATAAAATGTGTGGGTTAAAAAAAAAAAAAAAAAGAGGTTGGCATTCTGCACCGAGGACCTGGTTACTAAGTGGGCGCAGCAGAGTCAGTCAGGGTGGGCGGAGGGGGGTGGCGGGTTATGCAGGGAGGCCTCTGTCCGTGGCCCCACACAATAGCGTGTCGGAGGGGAAACGGGTGCTGAGTGGATCACGTGGACAGCTCGGCTCCTCCTAACCCTCCAGACTGGGAGGCGCGCATCGACAGCCACGGCAGGATCTTCTATGTGGACCACGTGAACAGGACCACGACGTGGCAGCGGCCCACGGCGCCCCCCGCCCCGCAGGTGCTGCAGAGGTCCAACTCCATCCAGCAGATGGAGCAGCTGAACCGCAGGTGAGGGCGGCGCTGTGGGTGGGCTCAGGGTTAGTTACCGGGTGCGAAGGCAGAGACACGGGTCTCGCTTTCCTCTCCGCGTGTCCTGTCAATAAGGTGTAGGTGCTACATCTTAGGATGCATAGGTTTCATTGAACTTGTCTTGGTTAAAAAAAATAATACCCACACACCACCACCACCACCTACACTACACGCACGCGCACGCCCATGTGCGCGCACACAGCTGGTTTGGAAACTGGAAAGGAAATAAGTAATTTTTCTTTGATGACCCTGTTCGTCAACCCAAGGCATTGCCTTTTACTAATACCTAGAACCTCCGTTCCTGATGCATCCTTATTATCAATGGGAGCTTTTTGATCTGTCCCTTTTCAGGTACTAATTGCTACAGAAAAAAAAGTTGTTTCTTCTTGAACAATAGAGGGATTTCGTTCTTTGGTTAAAGACCACAATTTTTTTAAATTTTATTTTATTTATTTATTTATTTATTTTAAATATATTTTATTGATTTTGTATAGAGAAAAAGGGAGAGAGAGAGAGTTAGAAACATCGATGAGAGAGAGAGTCATCGATCAGCTGCCTCTTGCACACCCCCTACTGGGGATATGCCCGCAACCAAGTTACATGCCCTTGACCGGAATTGAACCCGGGACCATTCAGTCCCCAAGCCGACGCTCTATCACATTGAGTCAAACCGGTCTCGGCCACAATTTTTTTTTTTAAATTAAAAAAAAATTGTTTAGGAAAATATCCACAAGCGATGGACAGAGGAAATCCAATGCAACGTGACTTACTGAATTGAGAGAGTGCCCTGCGGGCCAGGGAATGGAGGTTTGGGAGGAAGGGGCCGAGGCAGGGCTGACAGCGGAGACTTAGGGCTCGGGAAGCGGTGCGGTCCCAGGGCTCAGGGCTGCTGAGAGGTGACTGAGCTCCCGCATGTAGGTACCAGAGCATCCGCAGAACCATGACGAACGAGAGGCCCGAGGAAAACGCCAGCGCCCTCGATGGGGCCGGGGAGGAGGCCGACTTCCACCAAGCCAGCGCAGGTACGCGCGGGCGGGTGGTGGGCACCGCGGTGGCACCAGAGCAGCACACAGGTGCAGGGAGGATTGCCCACACATGAGGCTTTTCTCGTGGAGAACATTGGATCTTCGATGAGATCCGTTAATCTGGCTCCAAAAGTATCGATAGAATCCACCAGGCACCTCTTCCTCCTTACTCCTTGACTTTGTATTAGGACTGTGAAAAGAATCACGGGCCCACGTAGAAAATAAGTTCCGTTAATCTCTGGACCTGTGGGCTAGCGGGCAAAGACCGAGTCTGGTCACTGAAAGCATCATCGGATGCATTCAGATGGGAACGGACCAGAAAGGCCCTCCGCTTCACTTCAGTCGAATGAGGAGCCACCAGGTTTTCTGGGTGAATTTACATCAGGGACAGACGCGTTGGGGGATGAGACAACACAGGAGGTATGGAAGCTGTCCCAGGTGGCCGTGTGTAGGCGTGTTTGTGCCACGTGGACAGCTCTCCCTGAAAGCCGTTCTGGTCTTACCCCCCCCCCCCCCCCCCCCTGTAGACTTCCGCCGTGAGAACGTCCTGCCGCACTCTACCTCCAGATCCAGGCTCACGTTGCTGTTACAGTCTCCCCCTGTGAAGTTCCTCATCAGCCCCGAGTTCTTCACCGTGCTACACTCGAACCCCGTGAGTATCGCATGGGAGGGAAAGTGCTGGGGAAAGGACATCTTCCCCATGTGCGCACGCGTGTGTGCGCGCGCGCGCGTGTGTGTGTGTGTGTGTGTGTGTGTGTGTGTGTGTGAGTGTGTGTTTGTGTGTATGCGTGCGTGTGTGAGTGTGTGTGTGAGTGTGTGTTTGTGTGTGTGCGTGCGTGTGTGTATCCCGGATGTATGCGTGGCAAGAAGGGTAGTAGCTGGATGTTTTTTGCTGATTGTCTCAAGATAGGAATTTATGGGGATACGTCAGCCCATTTTTGGTGAAGGGCATTTACTTGTTGGCATTTCTTCTTTTTCTTAGATTAATGGAAAATATCACAAAACAAACTTTTATTTGGTTTCCTTATTTTAAGATTTATTATCTAGCCTTTTTTTCCTGAGTTGTTTATGATCTACAACTGTTCCAATAAACTCCCTGTTTGTATTATTGAAAATGTTCGGCATAGAAAAGGAGTATATTAATTTAAAAGCTTTCCTAGTTCTCTTTTCTTTTTATGTTTTGAAGTTATCGGTTTGTTTTAAGCTAGACATAAAAACAGATTTCGTATAGCAGTATTTTACTTAATTATCTTTATTGAGAAGAACATAATTAAGTAGATATATGGTTGTTATAACTCGAAAGGAAAACTGGAAAACAAAATATTGGTGTTTTTTTTTTCTTTTTTTTCTTTTTTTTTTTCTTTCTGTTTTGCGTGATGGTTGCTTTAAGATATGTTCTACTGCCCTCTGTTGGTTGTGATCATATTTCTTCCAAATTGTCCAGATCAGAGGTCAGCAAACTCATTAGTAAACAGAGCCAAATATCAACAGTACAAAGATTGAAATTTCTTTTGAGAGCCAAATTTTTAAACTTAAACTATATAGGTAGATACATTGTTATTAACTTAATTAGGTACTCCTAAGCTGGCCTTTGCTAAAAACTCAAGGGGCCAAAGAGCCACAGTTTGCCAACCACTGGTGCAGATAAACCATTTCTCCTGATAAATCTAGATTTACTAGTAATTATTACTGTCATGTTTTTTACAGATGGTATGCCTGTATGTGTCTAATAATTCTGACATAAATATATTCATTATATGCAACTGGATAATATTGTATTTCCAACATACATGCCAAATCATTATTACTCTGGCTTTTAATAAGCTCTAGAAATACATTAATCCCACCATATAAAATTTCTAGTGCTTAATGAAGGAAAACATTGTTCTGAAATATATAAATATATTTTTGCAAGTCAGGTATTCCTACTATTACAAAAAGGATGGATTGAGGTAAGTTAACTTTGGTCAATAAGTTAAATTTTCCTTCCATTTTAAGTCTTTAGCTAGATGAGAGCAATGTAAAATCCCTCTTATTAAAAATACAGACAAAACCTCTAAGATAAAAATAAAGACAGTCTGTGTAAGGTAGGGCTGTTTCCATAACCTAGCAAACAATGGTACTTGATTTTGTTTATAATGAGCCTCTTTCCTATTAATATATACAGATGTTTACATCTGCTCCCACATGGGCCTGCTGGTTGAACTTCTGGTTAAGGGGACAATTTGCATATTAGCCTTTTATTATATAGGATATACACTGAGTGGCCAGATTATTATGTATTCAGAGATCACAATAATCTGGCCACTCAAGTGTGAGTGTGTGTGTGTGTGTGTGTGTGTGTGTGTCTGCTGGCCGGTCAATTTGCATATACACAAATAGTATATATGTAGAATAACATGTAAAATAGAATAAACTTGCAAGTGAATAACCCTACGTGTAGTTTCTTTATAAAAGGGTAGCGTCTGGAGGGGTGTTTCTGTTTGGCTGTGTGTTCTGCGAGGGCCCCGATAGTCAGTGCATGCTGCAGAGACGGGAAAACCATCGGTGCTCGAGGTTACCCACCAGTCCCTAATGAGAGAAGTCTTCCTTGTACTTAATTTGCTTTGGCCGATGCTTATTGCAAAGGCCAGTTGAGCCTGGCACTCTATTTCGTGTCTCATTGAGTGGAGGGGAGGAAGATAAAAGACCTCAGTTAATTGGAAAAGCAGGCAAAGACTCCCGTGCACAGAGCTGTCCAGCCCCAGGGGCTCGCTTCCGGCCAGAGGCTGGGGCAGGCTCCGCGCCTCATTACGGCCGCTGCTCGTCCTAATGAAGTCCTGCTGCTTCCTTGTGGCGAGGGAGGAGCAGGCCCGGCGCTCCGGATAAAGGTCATGATGGGGCCCGTTGAGTTGCTTCAATGTGAGGAGAGAGAAATGAGGAGTATCAAGAGATACACCGATTTACAACAACGGCTAATGGAACGATTTATCGGACGGAGTTATCCCACCTTCATGCGTCCCCCACTGTGACCTGGGAGCTCATCGCCGTTGCCTCCAGACAGGCCGATGTGGTCTGGGGCCTCTGGGCCTGCAGGGGCCCCTGTGGAAACAGATCGCAGCTCAAAGCCAAGGGCAGCAAACAGATGCCTTGCGGAGTGTTCGTTCCACGCCAAGGCAGGGTCAGCCATGGGCTAAGCTATTAATTAGCTAACGTTCGCCTCTCACAGCCTTCGCCTGCTTTTATTAGCCTCCACCTCTGCTTTCATGCTATCGCTGTCTTTTCTCTCATGCCCTCTAATTGCCCACAGCCCTGCACAGGCATGCCGGCTTGGCAGACTCTGTGCTGGGCACCTCAGTTTCTCACAGCCGTCAGAGCCTGCTCTCGGCTAGACAGGTTGAAATGTGACCTCCAAATACTGTATACTCACTCGGGCGTATTAGGGAACTAGAGTACACTAGTATTTGGGAATGGTTCAATGTGTTCTTCCTTCCTTCCCTCTTTCCTTCTTTTCGTCTTGAAAGGAAGAACATATTTTAATGCAAAGTAAAAAGTATGTAATGAGTGAATCAATCAGAATATTACATAATAGCTATTTTATACTAGAAGCTTGGTACATGAAATTTGGGTCCCTAGGCCTCGCTGGTGATCAGGGCCGATCTGTGGGGCAATTGGCAAGGCGATGGGGGTGGGGTCACTGGCACCTGCCTTGGCTGGCCTGGGGCCTGTGGGCTGGGGCACCTCCTGCGTTTGAGCGTCTGCCCCTGGTGGTCATTGCATGTCATTGTGACCGGTCGTTCCACCTGTCGTTCTGCTGGCCGGTCAATTTGCATATTAGGCTTTTATTATATAGGATAATGTAGGTTACACGTCTGTAATGGCAAATAGCACATCTCAGTGACAAGCTAACAAAGCTGTGTTTCCCATTGCAAATTGGCTTGTCAGGGTTCTATGATCTGTGTAGCCACTCAGAGACCCACGGGCCCAGGCTGGGTCCCTTTCCAAACATTGCCGGTCTCCGTGCTGAAGGAAAGAGAGCTCCAGAGGGACTCACGTTGGCAATGAGTGCATTGACCGGGACATGACACGTCTCGAGGGACCCTGTGGACAGTCCTCAGACTCACTTGTCTTTTATCCTCCGTCCCTACCACAGAGACAGCGAATGGCTGTTAGAATGAAATGATGGCCAGGGATTCCGGTTTCTGTGGGGCTTGCCTTCGTCCGCCTTAGATAGAAATAAGTAACATCACACAGGAAGTCAAACCTGTAGGTCTCCAGATCCAGGGAAGCGGGACCGACCTGAGAATAGGGTTTAATTCCAGGACAGCGCGTTCCTGGCCAGGTCCGTTCCATAGCAACTCCTGTTCCCTCCTGGGCACGTGGTACTGTGCAGTGAGTGTTTGTTGACTGACTTCTATGTGGACCACCCCACGGCTTATGGTCCGTTTTCAGGGTATTTCTTAAGTATCCTAGAGATGAAGACGATAGCATTTTTGAGAAAGAACACTTTTTTTTTTAGTGTGGTTGTGTAGTGGAATTTTATTACGCGTGCATTTTCGATAATATAAACTGGGCCGTGTGTGTGAGTGTGTGTGTGTGTGTGTGTGTGTGTGTGTGTGTATCTGTATAGACACATATACAGGAAAAATAGAGGGAAAGAATATAAATATATAGGTAAGAGGTATGAAGTCCAGGCAGCGCTGTCTTCCATTCCATTCCCTGAGCTTATGCCTCTCAGAAGGTGTGAGGTGAACCATCTCCCTCTGCTATGGTCTCAGGTGAACACAGCTGGACTGTGAGAGCACCCCTCTTAGCATGTGGCCAAGCACTTCCCCACAACCTGACTTCTCCGGGTGTGCCCTCTGCGTCATGGGCGCTCAGTGGGGGACTGAGTGCCCGTGATCTGTTCCGATGCTTCAGAAAAGCAGGCTCTTGGGGGCTCTCTGGAAGGTGGTCTTCCGCCTGGTGTGATTTTGACTCATTCGCTACAGAATGAGACTTCACGGCCTTCTTCCTCATCAGACATCTAGACATCATCGGGAAGGACGGCCTTGCCTTCTGTAGTCTTTCTATAGGATTTTGATCAAAATGCATTCTTCCGTGTCTGCCCTTCTGTGTGTGGGTCTAGAGCTACTTTGGAGGCTGGCTGCCAACACACACCTGTGTGCACATGGAGCAGATACACTCATGTGCACATGTGGCTTCTGCCTGTCCCAGGGGTTAACCTTGGTTCTCCATCCTTTCTCCAGAGTGCCTATCGCATGTTTACAAACAACACGTGTTTGAAGCACATGATCACCAAAGTCCGGCGGGACACCCACCACTTTGAACGCTACCAGCACAACCGGGACCTTGTGGGATTTCTCAACATGTTCGCCAACAAGCAGCTGGAGCTGCCCAGGGGCTGGGAAATGAAGCACGACCATCAGGGCAAGGTAACCTGCATGGGGCTCTGCCCGTGGCGTCCAGGGGAGGCCCTTGGGAGGGGTCACAGGCCAGCTCCTGGGTTCGAGCGAAACCGGGACCAGCAGGCTGTCTCTACAAATTCACTGCACACCTCAGAAGTAGGTGTGGGGGTGTTCGCTCCTGAGACAGTCCTGTTAGCCTGGGTCCGCTTCCCCTGTAACCTCTCACCATTTTCTGCAAATCAGGGAAGAGGTGTAACAGCTCCTGTGATGGAGAGTTGAACAACAGTAGCGTTGTTTGGTGTCGGTAGCTAGGAGGTTGCTAAGCAACCACACAAGGTGTGTCTTTGTGACGCTGTCCGGGTTTGGGCCTCAGTCCTGTTGGTTCAGATCCGGATTTTGTTAGCATGTCCAACAGGAACACAGATGGATTCATGGGTGATGAGCAATGCACAGCTGGTCTCGCAAGCCTAGGAGCCACCTGTGTGGTTATTTCCTTTGTAGACGGTGAACCGGAAAGCTGGGATGTAAGTAGGAGCTTGTCACGCGTACAAAACCTGAATGAGTAACTTGGTCATTTCTGTCAGGGTTCCTCAGCTAAAATGCTATGCATTTGATTCTTGTTTAGCGCCGTTCTGAGCCACGAACATTCTAAGACACATTGTTATGTGTCTGAGCTTCTGTCAGCAACTCCATAGACAGCACTGTTATCGTTACTGCCAGCTCCAGGTTCGGGGCCTCAGTGGTTGGCTTGGTGACCTGCCCAGTGTCACAGAGATGGGCAGGGCCTGAGCGGTGCCCGCACCCGGGCAGCTGGTCGAAGGCACCATGCTCTCCATGCAGGGACTGACTTCAGCATCCTTGTCTGTAAAAAGACTTTCCATCCTTTGTGGGTGCGGAGGGATACAGTGACCTGAAGTAACTGTGCTTGGCTCATTCATTCAGTAAACATTTATCGAGCACCTACATAAGGCAGACAAGCCAGCTGCTTCATACAACTGCGTGCTCATGGGAAGAGGGGGGAAATAAACAAAGAAATAAGTGCATAGCGTGACGAGGCACCTGACGAGATTTAGAACAGGGGCGGGGAACATCTATCCCATGGGAAATCATTTGGCCCGGCCCGGCCAAGGCCTTAGGGGTGAGTTAATGAAACGTTGGACCAAATAGAGCAGGCTGATTGGAAGTTGATAATTTTGCATGGCCCTGGAATGATGCTATAAATACCCAATTGCTCTTGGCAGAGAAAGGTTCCCCACCCCTGGCCTCGCTGGTCCCGGTAAGGACTCGGAAAAGCACTGATGGTGCTATGCCTGGTGAACAAGAGCAGCAGCGAGCAGCATTCGTTTCTCTTCTCAGCTCGGCCAGGGAAGAGCTGTGAGCATCAGAGAACCCCTGGCCCGGGAAACCCCAGGGGCGATAATGCTGCCCACGGCCTGCTCTGCGTAGAGACAGACTTGCTCAGTCAGTGGCATCCTCGGCGAAGGGACTCGGAGCTTGTGCACATGGGGGCGGAGGGCCCTCTCTGCCCGTCCTAGCCTGCCTGACGCCTCCGGGGGACAGCGTCTTTGTCACAGCCCCTGGACCTCCAGGACAGTTTCAGTTGCATTTAGGGTGCTGTTGCCGATGAGTAACGATCGAGGGTTAAGGACAAGTTCTGCCTCACAGCGTTTATAAAAGGTTCGGTGGTTAGACAGTGGTAAACATGATCTCGGCATCCTATTCCCCGAGGATGCTGTGGACTCACGGTGTGGGGTTGGGGGTTGGGGGTTAAGGGTGTGGAGGCAGGTTCCACCGAAGGTCGTAGGCATTACAGCGGGCCCTGAATGTGGGCTGGGGCTGGTGGACAGCTGACGGCACAGTCTGCTGGTAGATTGGCCGTTGGCTGTCGTTGGGCATGGCAGACAGACCAGGACCCCTGCCTTGTGGACAAAACGGATTGTCCGCCAGGCCTGAAAGCCCGTTTCTTTAGCCTCATCTCTCCGCATCCTGCATTAGGACTTCCACAGGATTTTTGCCTAACCTGGACGCCTTGGCTAGAGCAGGTGTGTCTCCCTGTGAGTCCCCCGTCCTTCCTGTCCAGGTGACTGGCTCCCAGTGAGCTCAAGGGACTTAAAGGGACCCTTGGGAGAGGCTCATGCTATGTCAGCGGTCAGTCACAGCTCCCATCCCCCAGGCAATGAGTGGGTTTCCTCCCAGCCCTGCAATGTTAATGAATTAGAGGTCCAGGGCATGACATTTGTGCGCAGGTAGGTTCCCTAGACCTTCTTTTGTTCCGTGCTGCCCCCTCGGCGGTCAGTGCCCATCATAGCGATCGATCGAACTCCTGGTCTCCCAGTTGAAATCCCAAGGGGACACTTTGCATATTAGCCTTTGATATAGATAGATTGCTTTGCTTCCAGAACACTGAAAGGGAGTAAACTTTTATCCATTTACTGTAACGTCAAAAGCTCTCCAATGACAGTTATTTTTCTACTGTGCTGCGTGGTTTCTAGACTTGACGTGGAAATAGGGTATCCAAATCCGCGGTTACATGGAAGGGTTCTTGAGAGGAATGCTCTTGCACTTAGCTCATTGGGCTGATGGAATTTGGCTCCCTCTTCTCTTTTCAAGTGCAGCGTTTTTATTGAGTCATTCTGCATGCCTACTGTGTGCCTGCCCCTGTGATATGTGTGCTGTGGGGTGCAGTGTTGACCCCATGATGTTTGAGCACCTGGATTTGATCCTTTCAAGCTCACAGCAGTCTTGTATTATAGATATTATAGCTGCTATGTTTACCCACATTTTAAATGCTTTTTTAAAAAATTTACTTTTAGAGAGAGAGGAAGGGAGAGGGAGTGATAGAAACATGGATGAGAAGCATCCATCAGCTGCCTCCTGTACGCCCCTTCCTGGGAATCAAACCCAGAATCTGGGCATGTGCCCTGATCAGGTAGCAAACCAGCAACCTTTGGGCACATAGGACCATGCTCAGCTGACTGAGCCACAGGGGCCAAGCTCCATCCCCATTTTGTAGACGAGGAGGCACGGCATGGTGGAAGGGATTGACCCAGTTCCACTGAGAGAACCAGGTGGAATGGGATCTGAGCCCAGGCCGCCAGCTCTGAGCCGGTGCTTGGAGTCCACCCTTCGCTAGTGAGGGGTCAGTCCTGGTGCAGGGAGGAAGAGGCGCTGTGGGGGGCGGGCTCTCTGACATGGAGGAAGGCAGCCCAGGGGGAGCTGCTCTCCACTCTCCATGGGTGAGCGATCAGGCCTTTCCTGACCCCCCCCCCCCCCCATTGGTTCATGTGCATTGTTTCATGACGTCTGTCTCCACTCACCTCCTGGCATACTTGTTAGCATGTTCTGTCTCCCCCAACAGATGTCCCCTTCTTCCCATGCTGCAGACCAGTCATTTTATTGCTAGCTTTACCCGGTGGCCAGATACGTTTCTATTGAACGAGTACAACAACGTTTTACATAAATGTTAAAAGCACGCTCTAAAATGAAACACCCGTTGCATGTTGAACTTATTTATTACATATTCTTATAAGCTAATAGCCTTTTAAAGAATTCTCATTATGGGCCAAAGCCTTCGAACAGAAAACACGAGAATTCTCGTGATCTGTCTGCAATGCGTTAAGAATTCTTTTATTTATTTATTTATTATTATTATTATTATTATTTAATTACCCCCTTTCCTACTCCAGTGCCTGTCACATAGAAGGTTCTCAAAACAAGTTTGATGAATGAATGAAAGCCAGGCATCTCCGCATAGGACAAACGGACAAGCTGCCAGGCTCCCTACCTACTCACCCCCCTTCCCAACCTTCGCGTCCCCCCCCCCCCGCCCCCCTCCCCACCCCCCCATGCTCTCCAGAAGTCAGTCACTCCTCGATCGACTCCCATTTGACCTCCCTTAATGCATATGTTGTCCTGGATTTTTCGCATTACATGTTGGAACACGGTAGTAATTATGCTTGTACTGCCCTTTAGCTGTCTTCAATTTTGAAAAGAGACTGTTTTCTAATTACTAAAGGCCACGGGTTTAGATCGGGTGAGATTCCACAGGCTTTGGGCAGGCTCCCTGGGGGAGTTCCAGGGTGAAACATGTCCTCATTTTGAAACAAAACATAGAAGCAAAGAAAGTTGCCCCAGGGGGAAAAAAATGTTCTGCTTGCTTCCTGTGATCAGAGTTCTTAAGTTTTTGTACACTCTCAGGAGTGTGAAAATCAAGGGTAACTTGGGAACCGGAGCTCAGTTAAATTTTTGTAAGAAATATGTGACAGTAGTGTTAAAATGTGACTTGTTTCATACATTTCTGGTCCTTGGCTGGGCTTGATCATTAGTAGGTGCTCGTGGGGATAACACATATATCTCGAAGACGAACGGGGGCTTTCACAAGGAAAACCAAATGCTATTTAACTTCGGAGTGTTCCTTCTTCCATCCTTCCTCTTGTTAACCTGACAAAATTAAATTTGAGAAAATAGTACTACGGTGAGGTCAGGATTTCTCCATCCATCACTATCTCTCTTTGGCTGAGTACCCTTTGTGCAGCCCGTGGGGTTGTGGTGAGCATCAGTGCAGGTAATAGAGGGATTACAAATGGGAGAAAAAACTGATGGTTATCATTACCACAATGGATCCAATCATTCACATAATAATACTTGACCGTGTACAAAAGATAAAAACTATACAATAAAAACCTCTCCCGCTCTATGACTTAGTTTGGGAAGAGCAAGGATGTAGAAAATACAAAATGCCTACACAATAATAATGGACTGTTTTATTTTAAAATAATGGGATATTTTATTGCCGTATTTATTTGTAGCCAGGAGTGCTGCTAACCTGGTTACTCATCTCCCCAAAATCTTGATTTGAATGGCGGGGTAGAAGTAAGGACTTCTAGAATAGGGGTGTCGAACTCAATCAGAGAAGGGGCCAAAATCTAAAATCCAGCCTAAATCGCGGGCCGAATGGTTTACTGAACAGTCATAAACTGTCATTGTGATGGAAACGCAGCAGAGTGCAGTGATGACAGCGCGGTGCG